GAAAAGAAAATCAACAAATCGTAAAGTTGTATAAACTATTATTGGAAAGAAATATGGAACAGGAAGTAATTAAAAAATATAACATTGATGCAGGAATTAGGTAGAACAATTCAAACAGAGGATTGGTTTAGAGCATGGCTTGATAACCAAAACTATTAATAAGTACAGATTTGAAAGAAAATTATATGAAAACATTATATAGATGGTATATGACACCAGAGAAATTGACAAAGGTGAAGAAAAATGAGAAAGATAAATGTTAGAGATGTAAGACAATAAAAGGAACACTATATCATATATGGTGGGGTTGCAAATTTATTAGGAAATTTTGGAAAGAAACAGAAAAAATAATCACCATAGATTTAAAAATAAAAATGGAGATGAAACCTGAAACTTATTTGTTCAATATGGTAAAGCTAAACTCAAGACAAGAGACAAAAATTTGTTTATACATATTAGGCGCAGCCAGAATTCAAGTGGCAAAACAACGGAAAGACAAGGAGGAATCTTAAGAATTACTGTATCTTAAAGAGAAATGGAAGAAACCTGTTCTAAGAGACTTAGGCTTAAATTAGAAGCAGAACTGCTCTCAACAGAAGTAAAAACAAAGTAAAGCAGATTGTTAATATGGATATAAAGTAAGAATTAAGAAATGTATAATTAAGATTGCAAAGAAAATAAATGTTTCGTGGAAAATAAGGAATTAAAAATGTTAAAGACTTACTGTTTTGTGAAAGAGATAATAGAAAGTTATTTTGGCTATGTGCTAATATTGTGATAATTATTTACTTATTTTTATAATTTCTTTTTTAAATGCAATAAAGATTAAAAGTTTTTAAAAAGTAAAAAAAATCCCTTATATTTACAAATGTTTCCAAAATAAAATTATCAAGGATACATCTGTTATAAAAGCTGGTTTTCTGTCCAATCACTCAAGAATTCTATATATGTATTTCTTCACCCACAAATCAGAACCCCACTAAGATTTTAGTTCTATAAACTGATTTGGCCTACTCCCTCATAGTATAAAGGACTTCAAACATAACTAAGAAAGCATAAAATTAATGGGTTCAACTCTAAATCATACTTTGATGAGACCCACTGAAGTCCATTGGACAGAAGCTAACCAAGATTAATTAAAGTCTTTTTAACTTTAACAGGTCTATTCTAAACAACTTGGGATAAAACCCTATAAACAGATATTTACATGAGTTAATGTATTTTCAAAATCTTGCATCTAAGTTGTTTCACCGGTGTAAGGTAAGGCAGGTATTAATGAGTCTACCAATAAATATCTTCCCATAAAAAGTGTAGTAAAATACACAAATAAAGCTTTCTTGGTCTGCAAGGTTATTATTATGTTTATGCACAATGGGTGAAGAAAGCCAGGGGCCAAATATTCCCCAGTAAAGACTCAGAAAATATTTTCATAGTAAGAAATAAAACCACCTTGTTTGCTTGATTGTGGATCAAGCTAACAAAGGAAAACAGAGAAGTATGCTGCAAGAAATATGCAGGGCAGAATACCAACAATAAGTCACAGAAGATGTAGAGAGGAATACTATTTGTAAAAACGGCAAAATACCCATATATATTCTTAAAAATATCTGAACCCAATGCATTATATGTTGTTTCCAGCCTGGTCTTTTAAACTTCAGTTTTCAAAACTATTTCTAAGCATGAAAATGCTCCTATTTGATGCCATGTTAAGCCAGGAATTCTGGTTTAACAAACAACCATCATGATGTGTGGTGCATTAACCTCATTCATTTGCCTCTTTGTGCAAGGGAACAGCCAGGGAATAGTTTTATATTACATCCAAACCAGGCTTATGATTACATGCGGTCATGAGCTGCAATCCAACTTTGAATACCAGTTTAAAAGTGGCTTACAAATCACAGCTTGCTGATACACCTTTGCCATTACTCTCTGAATCACAGCTTGCTGATACACCTTTGCCATAATTCTCTGCTCGTGGCGCAGTGCTCGTGGCTCAGTGGTTAAACCGCTGTACTGCAGCCAAAACTGTGCTCACGACCCAGGGTTCAAATCCCAGGTAGCCAGCTCAAGATAGACTCAGCCTTCTATCCTTCTGAGAAGGTAGACTCAGCCTTCTATCCTTCTGAGAATCGGTAAAATGAGTACCCAGCTCGCTTGGGGGGGGGGCGCAATGTGTAGCCTGCACAATTAACTTGGAAACTACCCAGTATGTGCTTGAAGTGCTATGGGGTAGTATATAAACAGCACATTTTGCTTTTGCTTTTTTGCTCAGAGATCACAAAAGAGCTATTTCCTTTCAGCTATATATATGCATGCGAGAAAGGGAAAACAAATGTACTGCAGGCACGAGCACACTGCCTATTCACAGCACAGTTAGGAAAACAGAATTTCTTGCTTAATGCAATCTCTTAGCAATAGCTAGAGAGACACATCTTCCTGCAAAATGGCTGAAATCTGGAAAATGGGTTTAGATAAACTTCCTTGAGTGTAGGAGCAGGGTGTTCTTGTCCCAGAACCGAACTGTATATTTGACAGAACGAGAAGATCAATGTATCTGACTAATACACAAAAGTTCGTCTGGATATTTTGAAGAACATTGTACATATGCTCACCCCCATGAGGCACTGATTTTTTCAAATGTAAAACAAGAACACATAGTCCACTGTATATGTTATCTTAAGTATAGTATTTCAGCAAATATAGGGGATAATGATGGGGTACTAAAATCCAGCGAGAGATCTGGCAGTGCCTTGAATAACAGATTGTCAACATGATTAAATATAGTTAGTCTCAGCCAAAGCATAGTTTACATATACCTTCATTCAGCACCCACAGAAGTTATTTTTTAGATTATACCTCTCATCCTATCCCAGCCAGTACAGAAGAGGCCATGCCGACTGGGAGATTCCGGGAAGTCAAAGTCCAAAAGTAAGTTGACCAGCTCAGCATGCCAGTACCTTCTCCAAACCTATTGTCTTCAACTGTCCGGTAACCATAAGGAAGATGGAATGCTTCTTCTCATTTTCTATAACTTTTTTAAAAAAGTAGTGGGAAACCATATATACAAATTACAGAACCTCACCCATCTCAGATCAATGTGCATAGTTTGAGGGTCATGCCCAGCATGTTTACCTATTATATAAATTTTTAACAAAGTGAATAAATCTAGCCTAAGACAGTCATTGTTATAAAAACTGAAACAAGAAAAAAAATCTATGCACAATATAATGAACATGAATAAAACCAAAAAAGCCAAGAAGAGGTATTTAAAATCTTGGAAGACCACCATATCTTCTCTTTCCATGTTCCAGAAGCATACGTCTCTCTCTTGCTGCGCTACAGTCACTTTGCGATACTCCAATGAGATACAACGTCTATGGGTATTCTGAGTGTTCTCAATGTGTGCGTTCGTGTATGCAGGTGTGCATGTAATGTATATGGATTCCAAAATAAGAGTTTGTCAATAACCTCATCCCATTTAAGAAATCAGCAAACACATACAGTCTTCAAAAGGTCATCTCCATCATTTCTCAGGACTGGAAGGATATCACAGTATTAATTTTATATACATAGTAGGACCTGTTCCAATATACTCGAGTGAAGTAATTCACATACGGAGAATAGTTCATTTTGATCTCCTGACAAAAACGCCCATATTTTGAGTAGCCATAGCTGTCATTCTCCTCATAATATACCTGGAAGAAAATGAGAAAAATTAATATTTCAACTCGGCAGGGCAAGATAGGTTGCCAGACATAAGCATTTTACATCAGAGATCCTTGATTCTGTCTGTTAATTTTCCATTTAGCAATCAAAGAAATGATCAATGACTGTTCTTATTGCTAAATACACATTTTTGTGAAAGAAGGATAATGTCTGGAAACAAGAATATTGTACCAGCATAGCCAGTTCATTGAATAGCATAGCATATACTATATCTGAAAAAAAACTGAGCTTTTTTTGTGAAAGAATATTCAAAAACGCATATTTAGGCCAGGGCTAGGGAGCCTTTGGCCCTTCAGCTGTATTGGGACTACAGCTCCCACAGTGTCTCACCACTGTCCCTGTTGGCTGGCGTTGAATTCCAAAACATCTGGAAAGCCCAAAGTTTCCCACCCCATGCTGGGGAAAAAGATACAGCCTACAATCCTATACAGTCAACCTTCGACTTCCGAATGGCCCGAGTTACGAACATTTTGACTTATGAACCGCTCTCATAGGAAAATATTGACTTGACTTACGAACTTAGATTTGAGTTACGAACTGAAAATAAAAACGTGCAGGAGGCGGGAAAAGTGCGAAAATTGAACTTTCAGTTAACTGTTGGCCAGTGAAGAGGGTGCCTGTCTGCTTCCTCGCTCTTCCCAGCGTTTAGAGAGTGGATTGGGAGACAGTCTTCAGACTGCCTGGTATTGCCCGGACTGTATTTTTATTTTTTGGCTATTTTGGGGTTTTTTGATTTTTGCTTTTTTGACATTCTTTTTTTAAGCAGGGCAACCACCTGCTCTGGGTGAGTACACTGTATGTTTTTACTTTACTGCATGTACTGTACAGGGTTTTTGCAGCTTGGGGGGGGGTAGGGCTAGGTGGGGGGTCTTGCAGTGTTTTAAAATGTCTGTGCCGGTGGTTAAAATATTCTTTGAGTGCATGTGCTGTTTGTTCAGGAAGGCAGGCATTTTTCTGCTGGAGGAATCATTGCTGGATTGCTATGCCTTGCTGGGGGGGTTATGTTTCTGTGCTATTATTGGTCTTGCAGTGTGGATGTGGATCCAGTCTTTTAAAATCAGAAAATATTCTTTGTGTGCATTTTTGTTCTGGAGGAATGGTTGCTGGATTGCTATGCCTTGCTG